AAATCTCTTGGGAGTTATAATACAGCACCCACATACACACAGGTAGAACTATAGAGTCTGAGCAGGTAGTTATATATATTATAATACAACCCCAGCACCCTCATACACACATGTGGAACTATAGAGGCTGAGCAGGTAGTTATATATATTATAATACAACCCCAGCACCCACATACACACAGGTGGAACTATAGAGGCTAAGCAGGTAGTTATATATATTATAATACAACCCCAGCACCAACATACACACATGTGGAACTATAGAGTCTGAGCAGGTAGTTATACATATTATAATATATACAACCCCAGCACCCACATACACACAGGTGGAACTATAGAGGCTGAGCAGGTAGGTATACATATTATAATATATACAACCCCAGCACCCTCATACACACATGTGGAACTATATAGTCTGAGTAGGTAGTTATATATATTATAATACAACCCCAGCACCCGCATACACACGTGTGGAACTAAATAGTCTGAGCAGGTAGTTATATATATTATAATACAACCCCAGCACCCACATACACACAGGTGAAACTATAGAGTCTAAGCAGGTAGTTATATATATTATAATACAACCCCAGCACCCAAATACACACATGTGGAACTATAGAGTCTGAGCAGGTAGTTATATATATTATAATACAACCCCAGAACCCACATACACACAGGTGGAACTATAGAGGCTAAGCAGGTAGTTATATATATTATAATACAGCCCCAGCAGCCACATACACACATGTGGAACTATAGAGTCTGAGCAGGTATACGTAGTTATATATATTATAATACAACCCCAGCACCCACATACACACATGTGGAACTATAGAGGCTGAGCAGGTAGTTATATATATTATAATACAACCCCAGCACCCACATACACACAGGTGGAACTATAGAGGCTGAGCAGGTAGTTATATATATTATAATACAACCCCAGCACCCACATACACACAGGTGGAACTATAGAGGCTGAGCAGGTAGTTATATATATTATAATACAACCCCATAGCACCCACATACACACAGGTGGAACTATAGAGGCTAAGCAGGTAGTTATATATATTAGTGCTCCTGCAAAAACTGTACAGATTAAAGTTGTGTGTATTATTTATATCTATGTAAACTGTAAAAGGGGGCTACATGTATATATATTAAATGTTGTATTCATGCACATACTTTATATATGTTCACACAAAATGGTACAAATTATATCCATGCCCTACAAAAAAAATGTACCTGTACAACAAAGAATAATGTTTAAAACGGTGTATATAAAATATTATATATTGTGGTATATATATATTAAATACACAAACAGTTGTGGACCTCCTATTTGTATAAGATGCAGGTTTGTAATCTCTGACTGACAATAACAATGGTATGTAAATTGACTAAAGAATGCATGAATAAATATCCCTCAATCACATGGTTTATCAATGACTGAAGTAGGCACAAATAATAATTCCTTGAGGTTTCACAAACATGTATATAGTATATATATATATCCAATGGTAATTGTTATGTTGACGTACATATACAGGCTCTCAATGGATTTGTTGATCCTCATATACAATTCAAACCAGCGTATTGTTATACACTGGTGAAGCAGGTTCTTTTTTATTTTTGTGGAAAAACTTAACTTAACTAGAATATCCTGTATATTTTGGTAGAACATAAACTTCACTCTTGCAGGGAACACCACCTGTATCAAAAACGGATATCATTGGTTTATTTTACATACATATCCTATATCTGTAGGTTTGTGTACATGATATGTCATTTATCTGTACTTTTGTTTATAAGGTCCTGCACCATCACTTTAAATATAAACAGATTATGTAACAGAGAAGAAATGAAAGCTGAAAGTGAACTCTAGACAGCGTGGAGCATGAGCTCTAGACAGCGTGGAGCATGAGGTCTAGACAGTGTGGAGCATGAGCTCTAGACAGCGTGGAGCATGAGGTCTAGACAGTGTGGAGCATGAGCTCTAGACAGCGTGGAGCATGAACTCTAGACAGTGTGGAGCATGAGGTCTAGACAGTGTGGAGCATGAGCTCTAGACAGCGTGGAGCATGAGGTCTAGACAGTGTGGAGCATGAGCTCTAGACAGCGTAGATATACCTTGTATGTAACACCTGTATAGATACACCTTGTATATAACACCTGTATAGATACACCTTGTATATAACACCTGTATAGAAATACCTTTTTATATAACACCTGTATAGATATATCTTGTATATAACACCTGTATAGATATACCTTGTATATAGCACCTGTATAGATAAACCTTGTATGTAACACCTCTATAGATATACCTTGTATATAACACCTTGTATATAACACTTGTATATAACACCTGTATAGATACACCTTGTATGTAACACCTGGAAAGATACACCTTGTATATAACACTTGTATAGATATACTGTACCTTGTATATAACACCTGTATAGATACACCTTGTATATAACACCTGTATAATTACACCTTGTATGTAACACCTGTATAGATACACCTTGTATGTAACACCTGTATAGATATACCTTGTATATAACACCTTGTATATAACACCCGTATAGATACACCTTGTATGTAACACCTGTATAGCTATACCTGTATGTTACACCTGTATAGCTATACCTGCATGTTACACCTGTATAGCTATACCTGCATGTTACACCTGTAGACCAGGTAGATGCACCAATGGTACATTATAGCAGTTTCAAAACTGAAATGGATAGGACAATAACAGAACTACTCCTTTTATTTAATCTATATAATTACTCATGATCAAGTATGTAATATTGTTTTCAATTGGTCATTAGTCATGCAGTTGCAACTTCCTGTTGATAGACATGTTTATGACCAAATTGATGTCCCACATTTGTTAACAATATAAAAATCATTCAATGCAGTACAGTAACTACATCTGTCCCTAATGTAGTAATTATGTACGTTTGAGCTGGAGTTTCACTTATTTTAGGCAGTCTTAAATTCTACTTTCTGTTTGCTTCATCACTGTTTTATTGTAATCCACTAAGCTATTCAACATCAGCACCTGATCAGCTGATTACTTATTTGCTTCCTGTTGGCCAGCTGGGTGGTGGGGAAAAGAAACGCATGCAAAATGTGTTGAAAAAGACCCACACTTTTACATTTGCCATGGACTAGTGCACGTGCTAGTGAGCAATCTGTTTGTAGTTGTAGTTGCCCGAGCTCAAAAACTGCTTGTCCTTGGTGTAAATTAAATGTGATGCATGTTTCAGTACAGCTACACGTATACATAGTAATAACTAATTAGTGTCTATATGGAAATGATAGCTAACAAGGACTGCCTGGTTGACTATCATGCTAGAATGTCTATAATGCTCATGATGACTAAGAAAACTCACCAGATAATTCTTGTCCATATAGTAGGTTTTCATTTGACCCTTGGAATTTGGCAACACAGGGGTAGTATGCACAATTAATGATTTGTGTTACACTATCTGTGTCATATAAGGTGTACAGGTGTGCCCCTTTCTGTGTTTTATTTAGCCCTTATAGCAAACAAAGATTATGAGACATTATTGATTATCAATTTGGTCCATTGTGATGAATGTATCATGTAAATATCATTGTCAGCTACATCAGGGAAACACACATACAATAATGTGATAGAGCTATACACAGTGTAGAATATGGCACTGCTAACTGTTACTTCACATACAGCAATAGATATCCAGGTTTCATGAAATTGAATGTGTCTTGCCACCTGATCCTGCTGTGATGTATATGAAAGCTATTGAACAGGGCCAGTGGGCTCATGGAATGGTGTACAGTGATATCCCTGGGGATAAATCTTGCCAAATGCACTCAGCCCACATATACACAAGTGGTCTGGGTAGATTAATGACTAACTTCCGGTTGTAGAAGGCTACTGCCAAGTCTACATACATGTATTACCAAGTGTATATCACTGTCACACACAGCATAACCCAGTTTAAATCATAGCATGTTACATAAACCTTTCAGTCGATAGGTGCACATGTATAACCAACCGCTGATGTCAGAATCAACGAGCGAAAAACAATACAGATCGGCATAATAATCAGTCATTAAAACATCTGACAGTAGACATCACGACTCGTGTACACCGTTTACCTGTAGTCCGTGCATAAAAACCAAGCGCATACTTACTTATCCCCAAATGACTTTTTCCACCAATCTGATGCATCACTTTTCGTTATCCTGAAGTTTTCGCCTGTAAACACTCCACTTGGATAAAGAGCTTTCAGTTCTGCCAACATGTGAGAAAATACCAAAGAAAGTTTTGTCAAATTTCTCCTGTAGTGTGAATTCTCGTCAAACATTTTTTCTTTTCCTTCTTTAAATAATTTTATCGTGTTCTTGCACTTGTTCATGAGATTTTCGATAAAAATCCTAAAATATTCGCACTCATTGAGTGTCTGTAAACGGTCGTCGTGTTTACTGTAAATAAGTCGTAAGTGTTGATACGTATCGGGTAAAATGTCGAGGATGAATGGAGGGCTATTTCTCAAATTCATTCGAGGATGCTGACACAATTTGACGACTTTATCCATGAGTTTCCATGATTTTTCTATCGTCTTTTTGTCCACGACTAGTTTCGGAGGAGCTAGGACTCCCTGAAGCAGTCCTATCACGCCCCCAAAATTTTTGGTCGGGGCGTTCTTCCCTCGGTTCGCCATTTTGGCTTCCTGGTTAAAATTACCTTATTTTTAGTAGTCCGACTTGGGATTCCCCGTCATAATACCTATTGAGAATAGGGTAATACACATTATGAATGAAACACGCATGAAATATTCAATATTAAGAGTTGACCTAAATGCATTGTATGATGATGTATTTAAAATATAACCATAGCAGAAAAAGTAAATAGATATAAATGACAGTCTCAAGAAGAAAAGGGTCTCATTTTGTGAATGACTTCCTAATTTACGACATCCCTTTCCGGTTTACGGTATACACGTCAAACTTCACAAGATGGCGGAGTCTGTTGATGATACGAGCTGGTAAATATTAATTATGTCATTTTTGTCGAGAATTTATGTTATATCTTATTTTATTTTAAGTTGCAGCAATATCATCTAACAGGTTTACCATACAAACTGTTGAAATATGATGCATTAATGAAATTACGACGGAAATCGTACTGATATCATAGGTATCCTTATGTATACACGTCTCGGCTGTATTTCATGAATTTGAAGGTCCGTTTGACGAATCATAGAAGCCTCGGCACCTGGCAAAGTCGGTACTTGGACAACTCGGCACTTATATTTTCGGCACTTGGTTACCTCGGACCTTTTATTTTCGGAATAACACAACACTCAGAATTCGTTGAAATGCAAGTCTATTTCAATGTATTATACATAAACAGGTCGGGGAAAACCACTAACTTGCGTATAATACGCAAACTCGCCTATTATACGCCAATAGGGGTATGGATTTGTTATTAAAAATAGCCAAAATCACTTTAATCTTAATTTATTCACACTGTTTGTCCAAGTCGCATTTATTCAGTCATGAAACATAATACAAATGCAAAAATAAACTATTTGCATGTTGGAAAGTACCAAAAACAGATGCAATACTTCTGGTAAAGTTACATCAAGTTTCTAAGTAGCCAACGCTTTCAGTAAACATCTTTTAGCAAAATATGATTTACCTTGTCGTAAATTAATGCGATTTTTAATAATATCTTGCAAAGGTTACTGTTAAATCGATTTGGGTTATTTTTGATAACAAATCCATACTCCAACTGGCGTATAATAGGCGAGTTTGCATATATATGCAAGTTGGTGGTTTTCCCCAACCTGTTTATTAAGTCATGAAACATAATACAAATGCAAAAATAAAGTTTTGCATGTGGGAAAGTACCAAAAATAGATGCAATACTTCCGGTAAAGTTACATCAAGTTTCAAAGTAGCCAACGCTTTCAGTAAACCTCTTTTAGCAAAATATTTTTACCTTGTCGTAAATTAATGCGATTTTTAATAATATCTTGCAAAAGTTACCGTTAAGGCGATTTGTGTTATTTTTAGTAACAAATCCATACTCCAACTGGCATTTAAATAGGCGAGTTTGCGTATTATACGCAAGTTGTGGTTTTCCTCGATCTGATAAATCACATCAACAATATTGAAAGAAACTATACTCCATTGAACATTTTATTTTAATAACTTAACCCTTAGGCTGCTACGCACAACAATAGTCGTTTTGAAAAGTCGGGCCGTCAGTGCTACGTACGACTATAGTCGTTTCTTGGTCTGTAGGCTTTGATCGGTAGCCAGGAAGTGTGAAGTCAGGTTGTTGCTATACCAAACCCGAACGTGTATAGTAGAAGGCTTCTGATTGGTTGTTTTGTCATTACTTTCGATATTCACGGCAGTGTACCCTAGTAATAACCAAAGGTGTGCGAGAGAATTTCAAATCGAAAAATAAAACATAAAAATGGCGGACGTGTGGATTGAAGCGATGAATATAATGGTGAACATTTATTCTCCATCGTCACCTACAATGATAATAAAGGTTTTAAAGGGTTTTGCATGGTTGATGTGGAAATACTTCGGTGTTACATAGTATGTAACTTTCCAGTAAACGGCTTTGTGCTCTACGCAAACAGGAAAATATCAGCGGACCGAGGAGCACATGTCGTCTGCAGGTGAGGCCGAATTGAACATTGACATTGATACGTTTTGAGCCGATTTATTTCTTCAAACTTTTTATAGGTGATTTAATCATAAACTAGACCGTAGCTAAGATATATCTATATGCCGACTGTGACAGTAAATTTATTGAATGGCGACCTGAAACCTGTAGCAAATCACATGCAATTCGTGACGAAATACCTGACCTTTTTACCTGAGAATCTCCGTATAAATATACAGCGTCTTATGTCAAAAATGAAGTTTATAATCTCTGTTATCATTTGCCAATCACATTGCGGACGAAAATAATTTTAAATTGATCTTCCTCTTGCTTAAATCCGATTAATTAAAAGTTTCACATTTTCTTACCTTTATTACCACCTGTACAGGTAAATACTGAAGCAACTTTAGAATTGAAAACGTTAATATAAACTAGAGACAACAACGAACAATTTTCATATAACTTTTTTTCACATATTACAAATATTTTTCCAAGTTATGCACATTTGAAAAATCAAGTAAATTAATTTAAATTTCAATAATTAATTCAGCAGTGGTGTCCGTTTACATAGAAATCAATATAGCAGCCTAAGGGTTAATGCATATTATTTGTAGAAATATTTGTACGGATGGCCTAACTCTACACGCTCCACTTATAAGTTATAAATTATTGTTCGTCACAGAGGCATGGAAGCATTACAACTTCCAAGCTTGTTTGTATATCACTTTGAAATTAAAATCAGGATAATAGTCCATAAAAATAGCATTTAAACAATGAATAATGGGCCGTAAAGATGAAATGTTGCATAAACATTTTTAGCCATAATAACGGGTCGTAAAGATGAAATGTAACATATATTTATGGTCAGAATATGGGCTGTAAAGATGAAATGTTATATATGATTATAATCAGAATAACAAGACGTAAAGATGAAATGTTACATAAACATTTTTAGCCATAATAACGGGTCGTAAAGATGAAATGTAACATATATTTATAGTCAGAATATGGGCTGTAAAGATGAAATGTTATATATGATTATAATCAGAATAACATGAAGTAAAGATGAAATGTTACATAATTATACATTTTTAGTCAAAATAATGGGTCGTAAAGATGAAATGCAAACATAAGTTTTTAGTCAGCGTAAAATGGATATGGGTTAAATATAATTATTACATTAAATGATATTTTCTAAGTTTATCAACAGCACGTGGTCAGTATCTACAACTTTCTATTTACGGCATGTGATAATTTTAGCTATCTATCTATGAAGTCATTGTAAGAGATCACTTTGATAATCAAGGATTTGGACATAGATAATGGAGCAAATTATTCCATTGGATTTTAAGCTTATTCAATTACTTAGAGTTGAAACTATTAAAGAATTATGTTCATTTTCTTATGAACCTAATTCTCTATATAATTATACTCTGTACGCCATATTTCAACTTTGTTATTCATGTCAATATTTCACTGATGGGCCAAAAGGTCTAAAGTAATAAAAGAATTTAATTGAATCTATTGATATTTAAGCAATATGCTTTTTATATGTTTTGAATACAAGTTATCCTTTTCAATTATCTGACCAAAGTATATCTACGGCATGTGCTTATTATATAGAGAATAATACATTCCTTTTTTCCATATCACATCCAGTATCAACCTGAGACTGCAATATCGATATTGGTCGAGGGTTGATACTGGGTTTGATATGGAAAAGGGCGTGTTTTATTCTGTTTATTACATACTTACTAATAAAAACTACTATCTTATGATTTATTTTTATTTTTGGAATATTGAAAAATGAAAAAAAATCCAAAAGGGGTGTGATATGGGTTTTGCGGGCTGATACATGTTTTGGGGTGTGATACGGCAGGGGCTGATACAGGTTTTGGGGTGTGATATGGCGAGGGCTGATATGGGTTTGAGAAATTGTGTGGTATCGTATATACAAAAAACGCGTATTTATTAGTAAGTATGTAATAAATAATGGTTTTCAAGGAGTAACTGAAATTTTTCAATAAGTTTTATATGTATGACTATGTTCTGATGTCATTCAATATGGATTTTATACGTAAATAAATATGGGTATGGTAGAACGTGTACTGAACGATAATTGAAGATATCCATTTTAACGTGATTATGATTGCGATAAGACGAATACCAATAAAACTACCAATATATCGTTCCAGTACACGTTCCACATCTTGTAAGTTGTATGAGCATGACTTCGTTTTTTTCTTAATAATCACAACCACCGGTACCTGTGCATGATGACAAGATAATTATATGAATGTGAAAACAAACACTTTCTGTAATTAACGCTCTACACCTTTAATTGTTGCAATAAGACTTCCGTGTTTTATATTTTAACCATAACCACGGACTTAGATAGCAATCTACCAAAACCGTGCATGATAAAATAAAGAAAGTAAACAAGAACGACAATAAAAGTACATTCTTTACATGTACATTAATTTGTTTTATTGGAACAATATTAACCCTTAGGCTGCTGCATTGTTTTCTATGTAAAGGGACACCACTGCTGAATTAGTTATTGAAATTTAAATTAATTTACTTAATTTTTCAAATGTGCATATAGCTTAAAAAATATTTGTTATATATATGTGAAAAAAAGTTATATGAAAATTGTTCGTTATTGTTTATATTAACGTTTTCGATTCTAAAGTTGCTTCAGTATTTACCTGTACAGGTGGTAATAAAGGTAAGAAAGGGTGAAACTTTTAATTAATCAGATTTAAGCACCAAAAAGATCATTTTAAAATTATTTTTGTCCGCAAATGTGATTGGCAAATGATAACAGAGATTATAAACTTCATTTTTGACATAAGACACTGTACATTTACATGGAGATTCTCAGCTAAAAAGGTCAGGTATTTCGTCAAGAATTGCATGTGATTTGCTACAGGTTTCAGGTCGTCATTCAATATATTTACTGTCACCGTCGGCATATAGATATATCTTAGCTAAGGTCTAGTTTATGATTAAATCATCGATAAAAAGTTTTGAAGAAGTAAATCAGCTCAAAACGTGTCAATGTTTAATTCGGCCTCACCTGCAGACGACATGTGTGCCTCGGTCCGCCGATATTTTCCTGTTTGCTTAGGGGACAAAGCCGTTCATTGGAAAGTTACATATTATGTTACACCAAAGTATTTCCACATCAAACCCATCAAAACCTTTATTATCAATCTTAGGTGACACTGGAGAATATTCATTGCTTCAATCTACGCGTCCGCCATTTTTGTGACTTTTTTTTTCGTTTTGAAATTCTCTCGCACACCTTTGGTCATTACTACGGTACACTGTCGGGAATATCGAAAGTAATGACAAAACAACCAATCAGAAGCCTTCTATTATATACGCGTTCGGGTTTGGTATAGCAACAACTATTCTAGAAAAACAATTCTAAAGTTGCTTTGAACAGTATTTACCTATACAGATCAAAACCTACAGACCAAGAAACGGCATATGCTGTGCATAGCACTGACGACCCGACTTTTTAAAACGGCATATGCCGTGCGTAGCAGCCTAAGGGTTAATTTATTATAAAAAGTACCGAAAAAAAAGATAAGTGCCGAGGTGTCCTAGTGAAAATAATGAGGTGACCCCAAAAAAGTACTGAGGTGTCTCAAACCATAGGTGCCAGACTTTAACTCTCCAAGTGCCGAGATGACCTGCTACCCGTTTGACAGCTGATGATGACTCACAGATAGAATACAAAGCCAATCACGATTCCTTGTTGATTGATGATTATTTTGCCGCAAACAGCAATAGCTGTACTTCAGTTGGGCCTAGGGTCTACTGTACTATTGCGAAAAATCCCCGAAAAAGCGAGATCAGCGGGCACATAAAATATTGTTTGCTTAAGGTATTTCATTCAGGCTCATGTCAGTGTATATAGTATGAGATGGGCTCCTAACTTTTCCTCAAAATGATAAAAATATGGAAGTTGGTTGATATACCCATGTCAAGAACAATGTCAATAATGACCCTTTCAGAAATTATTTGTTGAAAATATTGTGCAATTTGTCTGAAAAGTAACGTTTGAATGCAGAATTTTAGTGGCGCAAAATTGCAATGAATAATGAAATTAATGAAAAAACTTACCTGTGCATGCATTCCTGAAGTATCCGTGTATTGACTATTATCGAGGAAAATGTAAGAAAATGTGTCAAATCTCAAGAATAACGGCATATCCAATGTGTGCTATCTTTGCTCACTCATGACAGAATCTTAAACTTGTTTATAACTGGCCTGACCACTTGCTTGCTTAGAGTGTATATACCTGACAGCACAAATCCTTCCCATCTGTATATACCTGACAGCACAAATCCTTCCCATCTGTATATACCTGACAGCACAAATCCTTCCCCTCTGTATATACCTCTACTCTATGTCCAATGTGTGCTGCCGTTGTTGAACTTGTTGACAGTGTATAACTAAAACACTTTGGCTGCTTCTTCATTGTTGGCTCCTAGTGCTGTCATGTGTAAAGTACAATAAATGTCGTAAAAGTCTACATTGCAGGTTATTATTTACAAGTAAAAGTCTACATTGCAGGTTATTATTTACACGTAAAAGTCTACATTGCAGGTTATTATTTACACCAAGGAAACTGAAATCTACATCGCAGGTTATTATTTACACCAGGGAAACTGAAATCTACATCGCGGGTTATTATTTACACCTGGGAAACTGAAATCTTCATTGCAGGGTATTATTGAGACCAGGGAAACTGAAAGCTACATTGCAGGTTATCATTTACACCAGGTAAACTGAAATCTACATCGCGGGTTATTATTTACACGTAAAAGACTACATTTCAGGTTATTATTTACACGTAAAAGACTACATTTCAGGTTATTATTTACCCAAGGGAAACTGAAATCTTCGCTGCAGGTTATTATTTATATCAGGGAAACTGAAATATACATCGCAGTTTATAATTTACACCAGGGAAACTGAGATCTACATCGCAGGTTATTATGTACACCAGGGAAACTGAGATCTACATCGCAGGTTATCATTTACACCAGGTAAACTGAAATCTACATCTCAGGTTATTATTTACTCCAGGGAAACTGAAATATACATTGCAGGTTATCATTTACACCAGGGAAACTGAAATCTACATCGCAGGTTATTATTTACAACAGGGAAACTGAAATCTACATTGCAGGTTATCATTTACACCAGGGAAACTGAAATCTACATCACAGGTTATTATTTACACCAGGGAAACTGAAATCTACATTGCAGGTTATTATTTACACCAGGGAAACTGAAATTGCTTATTTGGCACAAATTTGATAGGGTTGGTTGCATAACGGAAAACAAACTTTGTTTTTTCAGCCTAATATATATTTTAGATGCGCTTTTTTCATATTTCAAATAAAACCTATGTGAAATGATGCGATATAAAATAATAAAAATGGTATTGATCCCCTCTTGGTCTATTAGTTATGATATGGTATGTTAATATATCTCATCGGAAATAACGATAAAATATATTATTATTTCAATTTTCTCCCTTAGAAAGTACTGACTATTACCTATTACATGTGTATTACAGGGTAACGGATCTGGAGACTGCACTTATAGAAGAGTGTGACTTTGGGACGCTGAGAAACATTTGTAAATGTCGCCCAGTACCAGATCACCTGAGAGCAGAGGTGTGGCAGGTCTGTATCAGAGTGTAAATGTTACCTAGTAACAACGTTGAAGTCACATGAGCAGAAGTGTGGCAGGGCTATCAGTATGGATTAAAATTCTTCCATCTAAAATAATTAAAATAAAAATTTCCTTTAAATGACGTTTTCTGAAAAACTAAAGGGCTTTAAGTCCTGGTATTAGGCTGTAATCAAAACCCAACAAAGTTTGCAAACGAAAACGACCTTGACCTACTTTCAAAGTCACAGAGGTCAAACATGTCAAAAACATTGTCTTCTCCTGAAGAACCGAAAGGCGTAAAATATTTACTTTCAAGGTCTCAGATGTCAATATTTCAAAAACTTGGCTGGTAGCTTTCTTTGATGAAGCCTGACAAAGTTTGCAAATAAAAATGACTTTATCCCTCCTTCAAGGTCACAGAGGTCAAATATGTGAAAAACTTCATATGCCTTCTGAAGAAGAATGGAAATGCTTAGAATCAGGATATTTAGCAGGTAGCTTCCTTTGATTGAGTCAAAACAAGTTTGTGACAATAGTGACATGACTTGCATTTAAGGTCACAGAGGTCAAGTATGTCAAAAATCTTTAAACAACTTCTTCTGTAGAACTGAAAGGCTTAGAATCATGATATTTTGCTGGTAGTTTCTTGTGACTAAGCACAACAAAGTATTGAACGAAAATGACTTTGACCTACTTTCAAGGTCACAGAGGTCAAATATGTCAAAAACTTCAAATGACTTTTACTGAAAAACTGAAAGGACTAGAATCATGACTTTTGGTAAATTTTCTGATTGATTGTTTCAGATTTGCCTGAATGTACAGAACAAAGGTGACAGTATGGGGACATTTGATGGTCTCTATGACATGGAGGAACAAGGCTTAGTGAGGGAGGACTGTCGTACACTTGTTGGTATGTAGTATATTCAGTATTCTTTTCATAAGGAGGCTTCTCTATTTTATTGAAAATTAACTAAAATGGACAAACCCCAATCTGTTATATATCTACTACTGCTGTAGGGTAGTTTTTACACTGTGGCAACTGTACTATGAACACATCTTGATTCTATCAAATTACCTGACAGGTGACTTTAACCAACAATAACAGCCTCGGGCTCCTCAGTATTATGCCTAGGACCATGCCCTGCACTGATGGCATGGTGCCGTTGTGTACACGTAGGATCCATCAAATTAAGCTCAAGTGTGTCAACTGACACATTGATTTTATAGGTATGATCCCGTCATGTGCTTTAATGTTTTTAGCAGGTATTGGTTAGGATTCAAATGCATTGCAGATTAAGATTATCAGAAATGAAATTGGATATTTTCTGCATTTCAATAATTAACTTCTGATAAACTCCAATTAATGTTCAAACTTCATTGCATGATAAACAATATCAAATTTTATTATTCAGACTTTGTTTCAATGGAATCACAACTGTTATTAGAAAGTAAATGGTGACACACACTGAGTCTGATGCCTAGTCAAACAGTGTTTTGTTGTGTCATGAAGGATTGGGAAGGATCTAGCAATAGGGTCCTCAGAAAACATGGACAGTTAAAGACTCTGTGTATATCTCAAAGAAATTGATGGTGATGACAAGAGTCAGGTATACTTCAGGTCAACCTGGTCACCACACATGGTAACTCTGCATAACAGATGTTATTTCCTTGACCACGAACCTATTGCGATTAATATATCGGTGACTCTACTACAGATTTCACTTAACTTGAATATTATTTCTACAGATTGTTTGTATTATTTGTTATACACATATTTCTACGGTACTATTTATTTATCCTGCATATTAAAGTAACAAACAGCACATATAATTATTTTATAAAAATATCAACAGCAAAGAAATTTGAAAATTTTAAGAAAACGGTAACTCAATTTTTAATCTCAAAATTAAACAGATTAGATTTTAATTCAATACAGCTTGATGTTCTTTTCCAAAGTGATATGTTTTTATAAACAATAACAGGGAGCATTTCCAACTGTATGACTATAAAGTTAATATTGTCAGGAAGAGGTCCAGCTTTTGTCCAGTCATTACTGGTCCCTAAACAAGAGACCTTAGAATGCACCAGAGAGCCTTTATTTGTGTAAATTGTTTTTGACAGCCCTACTGTTGGGCTGTATTGATGATGGCAACCAGGCCTATTATAAATTATTTTTATTGGAGAGTTATCTTTGTTCTACTTGGGTACACAAACGTCCCCCAAGTAAGTCTGCTGCATCCATTGCAACATTTGGGATCTTTCCATCAACTTCCTAACAACCTTGGTAACCTAGTTCAATGTAGGCTAAATAAGGGGAGTTAAGAGGGAACTACTTTCATTTTTTTTCTTGTTTTAATGAATAATTTTTAGCACATTTAGTTATTAATTTTTGGTTTCTCCTTCGTTTGAAGAGAAAAATAAAATGCAGGAATTTCTTATTTTTGTTTGACAGATAAACTTGGCAATGAAGAGGAAGATAAAGTGTCTATTGTCAGTGATCTCGAGTCCATAGCAACGTTCTTCTCGAAATCTCGCAACGAAAAATACACATCAGACAATGGATGGCTGGATATTCTACAACCACTGTTATCTCAGAAACTGGGACGCGGAGAGGTCTATAACTGTTTCTACTCCCTAACCAACAAGTATATCCCCAGGTAAGATATATACATCCCCAGGTAAGATACATCCCAAGTCCCCAGGTAAGTTGCATCCCCAGTCTCAAGGTAAGATACATCCCTGCAAGTCCCCAGGTAAGTGACATCCCCAGTCCCCAGGTAAGATACATCCCTGCAAGTCCCCAGGTAATATACCTCCCCAGTCCCCAGGTTATATACATCCCCAGTCCCCAGGTAAGTTACATTCCCAGTCCCCAGGTAAGATACATCCCTGCAAGTCCCCAGGTAATATACATCCCCAGTCCCCAGGTAAGATACATCCCCAGTCTCCAGGTAAGATACATCCCCAGTCTCCAGGTAAGATACATCCCTGCAAGTCCCCAGGTAATATACATCCCCAGTCCCCAGGTAAGATACATCCCTGCAAGTCCCCAGGAAATATACATCCCCAGTCCCCAGGTAAGATACATCCCCAGTCTCCAGGTAAGATACATCCCTGTAAGTCCCCAGGTAATATACCTCCCCAGTCCCCCGGTAAGTTACATCCCCAGTCCCCAGGTAAGATAAATCCCCAGTCCCCAGGCAAGATACATCCCATAGTATACATCCTAGGGAAAGAAACATCCTTTGATCAACTTATTTGTTCATAACTACTCATGTAAAGATGATGAGGTTATATTGATTTATTACAGACATTGAATATTTATTTATTTCCACCAATTTAACATTGCAGGGACTGTATGAAGAATGGGAAGCCGTTTCACTTGTTTCGCCTACTGCTGCAATACCACGACCCAGAACTCTGTTCCTTCCTCGACACCAAAAAGATCACACCAGACACCTACGCACAAAGTTGGGTAAGGTTCAGATTGGTTATTCATCTCACCTAGCTAGGTTCTGATTGATCAGTTCTGTGATCTAGTCACAATCTGATTGACCACACTTGTCACCTAGCTAGGCCCTGATTGGTCAGTTCTGTGATCTAACCACAATCTGATTGACCATAAATTTCGCCTAGCTAGGTTCTGATTGGTCAGTTCTGTGATCTAGCCACAATCTGATTGACCACACTTGTCACCTAGCTAGGCCCTGATTGGTCAGTTCTGTGATCTAGCCACAATCTGATTGATCATAAATGTCGCCTAGCTAGGCTCTGATTGGTCAGTTCTGTGATCTAGCCATAATCTGAATGACCACACATGTCACCTTACCAAACAGATTAGTCAGTTTGGAACTGACGGTGATAGATTGTGATAAAGTGTGTCTGCTCTAAGCTTGTAATCTGGCGGGTTCGAAATAACCAAAACCACACATCTTAATTGACGGTGATATGGAAGAATGTCACATTTTGCTAATGGAGTTTATTATAATGCAACACCGTATCGGAGAGTTTTGAGGTGCTGACAACAAGATTCTTCTATGACAACACATACCTCACATGTATCGATAAATGGGTCATTTATTGATCCAAATCCACCCTTATTCAGCTCACCAACAGCTCACCATTCCGTCAGTAGAGTACTCCCTACCTGTTACCTATCTGATGCAGTGTATATATGCTCCCTATTGATAGGGGAAACGTCTTGGGGTCGAGTGACAAAAAGAAAAATATACAATTTTGTCACATCGTTGAACAGGTAAAAAGATGCAAATTGCTCATTCAGTCATAGCTTGGCAAAGGGACCAGTCGGTCTTGAAACGTTGCGACACGTTTAATATGTACATAGTTTGTGTAGAAAGTAAAAATTTGATATAACATATTTCCAAACTGACGAATCTTATTGAAGATATATATAGTCTTATTAGATATTTCATCCTACATGTATAAGGCCAAGAGTATGTGTTGTATGGTTATCCCTAGAGTCACATTACAGGTATGTTATACAGACACAGGCGAACACTTAGGAGCTTGATGTGTAGGCACAACAAATTTATCAACTTATTTTGTTTTAATTTCTCTGTGAATTTGTTTTTCAGTTCCGCTGTTTATTTGCTGCCACCTGTGACCTGCAGGTCATCAAGTACATGTGGGATGTGTACTTCCAGCATGGCGACCCATTCCTCGTTTTCTTCATGGCCCTCGTCATTCTCGTGAACGCCAGGTATATTTTTCCAATCTTTAATTACAACTGTGTATTGACATTTAGAAGCAGCACTTGATGCATTCAGTTAAAAGTTATACTGTATAGCAGTTATATTTCGCGGGGCTTTAATTTCGCTATATTCGCGCTTTGACTAATATCCGCAAATTCTAAACTGACTCATATCCGCGAATTCTAAACTGACTAATATCCGCGAATTCTAAACTGACTCATATCCGCGAATTCTAAACTGACTAATATCCGCGAATTCTTAACTGACTAATATCCGCGAATTCTAAACACCAGCAAAATTATGGAAAATGTTAACCACTTTAACGGACCTTATCACATTATGTTGGACATACTTATAACCCAACTCTGTTATACAAGCTTGAATTAAATCAAATCAGATTATCACCCTACAACTGGACAGTCCATGTAAAAATAAACAACACTAACATATAAGTGGCCACAACATATTTATGTGTACACAGTAGGTGATTCATTGATTACAGTTTACTCCTACAAAGGTACATACACATTTTATTTTATTTCGAGTGAAGTCACCGGCAAAACGCCGCTCGGGATCAGTGTTTTCAAACGGTTTACCTGTATTTCGATGTTTAACGCTTAAATTATAACTCTCAATAATATTTTGCACAACACGTGGGATTCAGGTGCACAGCGAAAATTAACTCCCGCGAATATGTACTGAATACGAAAACCACGAGATATTGACCCTGCGAATTCAAAACGCTATACAGTAAATAAAAAATCTCATTTGATATTGATATTTTAATACACCACAGTAAGTTGGTGAATTTTAAATACCTAGATGTAACAAACATCAATTAATTGTGTACTCTATTGTCACTCTATTGTCACTTATGTTACTTGAACATTTTCTTTCGTTAGGATAAGACAACTTCAAATGAATTACAGGCCAAAGAAAGCGAAAGATTTTACTTGTGCTTCAGATTTCCAACATTGGTTTTTATTCAGTTTATCTGTGAAACCATCCTGCAAACTTAACAGAAATGTGCCTACACCTTTTTAGTGATGAATTAGAAACACAAATGGTCTGTAACTGTTCATGATGAAAACATGTCTGATGAGATGTTGTGTTATTTCTGTTGTGAGTAATTGGGAGTTTTTCCTACATAGGGACCAGCTGATGTCGAGTGAGGGGGAGACTAAACAGACACTGATTGGTGAGTACGCCTGTCCCACTAGCCTATATCGTACATACTACTGGTGGTGTAGACCAGAACACTCAGACCATCACCTCCTACAGTGTCACCTTGTACAGTGTCATGTCACCTCGTACAGTGTCATGTCACCTCGTACAGTGTCATGTCACCTCGTACAGTGTCATGTCATCTCCTACAGTGTCATGTCACCTCCTACAGTGCCATGTCATCTCATACCGTGCCATGTCACCCCCACAGTGTCATGTCACCTCCTACAGTGTCATGTCACCTCGTTCAGTGTCACCTCGTACAGTGCAATGTCACCTCGTACAGTGTCACCTCGTACAGTGTCATGTCACCTCGTACAGTGACATGTCACCTCCTACAGTGTCATGTCACCTCGTTCAGTGTCACCTCGTACAGTGCAATGTCACCCCGTACAGTGTCACCTCGTACAGTGTCATGTAACCTCCTACAGTGTCATGTAACCTCGTACAGTGTCATGTCACCTCGTACAGTGTCATGTCACCTCGTACAGCGCCATGTCATCTTGTACAGTGTCATGTCACCTCATACAGTGCAATGTCACCTCGTACAGTGTCACCTTGTACAGTGTCATGTAATCTCGTACAGTGCCATGTCACCTCGTACAGCGCCATGTCATCTTGTACAGTGTCATGTCACCTCGTACAGCACCATGTTATCTCGTACAGTGTCATGTCACCTCATACAGTGTCATGTCACCTCGTACAGTGCCATGTCACCTCGTACAGTGCCATGTCATCTCGTACAGTGCCATGTCATCTCGTACAGTGTCATGTCACCTCATACAGTGTCATGTAATCTCGTACAGTGCCATGTCACCTCCTACAGTATCATGTCACCTCGTACAGTGCCATGTCACCTCAAACAGTGCCATGTCACCTTGTACAGTGTCACCTTGTACAGTGTCATGTAATCTCGTACAGTGCCATGTCACCTTGTACAGTGTCACCTCGTACAGCACCATGTCATCTCGTACAGTGTCATGTCACCTTGTACAGTGTCACCTTGTATAGTGTCATGTCACCTCGTACAGTGTCATGTCACCTTGTACAGTGCCATGTCACCTCATACAGTGTCATGTAATCTCGTACAGCACCATGTCATCTCGTACAGTGTCATGTCACCTCCTACAATGTCATGTAATCTCATACAGTGCCATGTCACCTCGTACAGCACCATGTCATCTCGTACAGTGTCATGTCACCTCGTACAGTGTCATGTCACCTTGTACAGTGCCATGTCACCTCGTACAGTGTCATGTCACCTCATACAGTGCCATGTCACCTCGTACAGTGTCACCTTGTACAATGTCCGAGATGAATGTAATCTCGTACAGTGCCATGTCACCTCGTACAGTGTCATCTCGTACAGTGTCACCTCGTACAGCACCATGTCATCTCGTACAGTGCCATGTCATCTCGTACAGTGTCATGTCACCTTGTACAGTGTCACCTTGTACAGTGTCATGTCACCTCGTACAGTGTCATGTAATCTCGTACAGTGCCATGTCACCTCCTACAGTGTCATGTCACCTTGTACAGTGCCATGGGACCTCGTACAGTGCCATGTCATCTCGTACAGTGCCATGTCACCTCGTACAGTGACATGTCACCTCCTACAGTGTCATATCACCTTGTACAGTGTAATGTCACCTCGTACACTGTCATGTAATCTCGTCCAGTGCCATGTCACCTCAAACAGTGCCATGTCACCTAGTACAGTGTCATGTCAACTCGTACAGTGCCATTTTATATCGTACAGTGCCGTGTCACCTCGTACAGTGCAACGTCAACTTGTACAGTGTCATGTAATATCGTACAGTGCCGTGTCACCTCGTACAGTGCCATGTCACCTCATACAGTGCCATGGGACCTCGTACAGTGCCATTTCATCTCGTACAGTGCCATGTCACCTTGTACAGTGTCATGTCACCTCGTACAGTGCCATGTCACCTGGTACAGCACCATGTCATCTCGTACAGTGTCATGTCACCTTGTACAGTGCCATGTCACCTCGTACAGTGTCACCTTGTACAGTGTCATGTAATCTCGTACAGTGCCATGTCACCTCGTACAGCACCATGTCATCTCGTACAGTGTCATGTCACCTCGTACAGTGCCATGTCATCTAATACAGTGTCATGTAATCTCGTACAGTGCCATGTCACCTCCTACAGTGTCATTTCACCTCGTACCGTGCCATGTCACCTCGTACAGTGTCACCTCGTACAGTGTCATGTCACCTCATACAGTGCCATGTCACCTCGTACAGTGCCGTGTCACCTCATACAGTGCCATGTCATCTCGTACAGTGCCATGTCACCTCGTACAGTGTCCCCTTGTACAGTGTCATGTCACCTTGTACAGTGTCATGTCACCTTATACAGTGCCATGTTGCCGTGTCACCTCATACGTCACCTCGTACAGTGCCATGTCACCTCATACAGTGCCATGTCATCTCGTACAGTGCCATGTCACCTTGTACAGTGTCATGTCACCTCGTACAGTGTCATGTCACCTCATACAGTGCCATGTCACCTCGTACATTGCCATGTCACTCGTAAAGTGCCATGTCACCTAATAAAGTGCGATGTCACCTTGTACAGTGCCATGTCACCTCGTACAGTGACATGTCATCTCATACCGTGCCATGTCACCTTGTACAGTGTCATGTCACCTCGTACAGTGCCATGTCATCTCGTACAGTGCCATGTCACCTCGTACAGTGCCATTTCATCTCGTACAGTGCCATGTCACCTTGTACAGTGCCATGTCACCTTGTACAGTGCCATGTCACCTCGTACAGTGCCATGTCACCTCGTACAGTGTCACCTCGTACAGTGCCATGTCACCTCGTACAGTGTCACCTTGTACAGTGTCATGTAATCTCGTACAGTGCCATGTCACCTCCTACAGTGTCATTTAACCTCGTACAGTGCCATGTCACCTCGTACAGTGCCATGTCACCTCCTACAGTGCCATGTCACCTCGTACAGTGCAATGTCACCTTGTACAGTGACATGTCACCTAGTACAGTGGCATGCACCTCATACAGTGAGGGAAAATTTGACAGCAATTTGAAGCATCTTTATGCACTTTTTGGGTGTCTTTAAAATGGCTTTAATAACATTTATGAAAATTCTAAAGTTGATTGTTGATTTTGGCTTTTGAGATTTTTCCTTATTGAATAAATCTAAATGGGTCCCGTACCCATTCAGATTTATTCGATAAGGGAAAAAATATAGGCAGTAAATAGTCCTGGACTTTTTTAATCTCATATTCTTAAAATGGATCATTGCTTTTCAGAAATGTTGGCAACGTTTCCTGGAGGATTGGAGGCTGAAGACATAGAAGATTTCTGCTCTCTTGCCCAGTACTATGCATCCAAAACGCCTCAGTCATTCCGCAGGGTAGGTCTCATTTCTGCTCTTTTGCCCAGTATTTACTGGTCACATACTTGCTTCATTAGCAAACAACGACATTTGCCAATGATAATAAATGTGGCAGGGGGAGTGTGTAACACTAAGATTTTGAAAGTTGTATCACAAGTGTGTGTTAGGTAGCATTTTGTTTCAAATTGCCAAGAAAACATATGTATCATTACAAGAATGTGTAAGTAAGCTAACACAGGATCACTTTGTGTATATGGTGGATTTCCTACACCCACAGGATTACCAGGGACCACTTTTTGGCACGAGCATGATCCCAGTCAGTGAAGCGTTTGGAATCCAGGTCTCTCAGGCTCTTTGCTTACCTGTATCAGTAGCAGAGCTGTTACAAGCCAACAAATCCTCTGTAGTAAGTATGGTTATTGATCAACAGCATTTCTCTTCCTCAGTGTCCCAATCAGTATAAAATAGAATCTGATTGATCCAGAAACATTTTACAACGTAAACCTTTATAAATAATCTGAACTTTTGTAGTAGCCTGAAATTCACCTATTAGGAGTATCTCATGAGGTTGCTTCTCATTATTGTCTGAATATTTCTTATATTCTTGAAGATTTAATGTATAATACAAGGATTTATTATTTTTAGACCTTCCACATTGCAGCAAACCTTTTCTTCAGGAATGTGTTCGACTCTCTGGGATTAGTGGATTAATGTGACAACTGATTACAGATGTCACGTAGACTTTCTCCGTCAACTAATAATCCTGTTTATGAGGTTCTTACAAGTTTTGACAGTATATCAAACTTTACCATTACAGAGTGGAGATGGAGTTCGTTATTTTATTGTTGACTGTCGACCAGCAGAACAGTACAACCGCGGCCACCTCCCCACAGCCTTTCATCTAGACGCAGACCTTGTAAGTAGTCACCCAGAGGTAAAGTCGTTTTAAGTCTCTCTTTTGACATTACTTACAAGAAGAGCTGAATGCTTTCTATGATGTAATAGATACATATGTCATAGAGAGGTATACAGACGTATGTCATAGAGAGGTATGCAGACGTATGTCATAGAGAGGTATACAGATGTATGTCATAGAGGTATACAGATGTATGTCATAGACAGGTATACAGACATATGTCATAGAGAAGTATACAAATGTATGTCATAGAGAGGTATGCAGACGTATGTCATAGAGAGGTATACAGATATATATCATAAAGAGGTATGCAGACGTATGTCATAGACAGGTATACAGACATATGTCATAGAGAAGTATACAAATGTATGTCATAGAGAGGTATACAGATGTATGTCATAGAGAGGTATACAGATGTATGTCATAGAGAGGTATTCAGACATATGTAAAGAGAGGTATGCAGACGTATGTCATAGAGAGGTATACAGACGTATGTCATAGAGAGGTATACAGACATATGTCATAGAGAGGTATACAGACGTATGTCATAGAGAGGTATACAGATGTATATCATAGAGAGGTAGACAGATATATATCATAGAGAGGTATACAGATGTATATCATAGAGAGGTATGCAGACGTATGTCATAGAGAGGTATACAGATGTATATCATAGATAGGTATACAGATGTATATCATAGACAGGTATACAGACGTATGTCATAGAAAGGTATACAGACATATGTCATAGAGAGGTATGCAGATGTATATCATAGAGAGGGATACAGATGTATATCATAGAGAGGTATAAAGATGTATATCATAGAGAGGTATAAAGATGTATATCATAGAGAGGTATAAAGATGTATATCATAGAGAGGTATAAAGATGTATATCATAGAGAGGTATGTAGACATATGTCATAGAGAAGTATACAAATGTATGTCATAGAGAGGTATGCAGATGTATATCATAGAGAGGTATGTAGACATATGTCATAGAGAAGTATACAAATGTATGTCATAGAGAGGTATGCAGATGTATATCATAGAGAGGGAGACAGATATATATCATAGAGAGGTATACAGATGGATATCATAGAGAGGTATGCAGACATATGTCATAGAGAGGTATGCAGATGTATATCATAGAGAGGTATAAAGATGTATATCATAGAGAGGTATGTAGACATATGTCATAGAGAAGTATACAAATGTATGTCATAGAGAGGGATACAGATGTATATCATAGAGAGGTATAAAGATGTATATCATAGAGAGGTATGCAGACGCATGTCATAGAGAGGTATACAGACATATGTCATAGAGAAGTATACAAATGTATGTCATAGAGAGGATCATAGAGAGGTAGACAGATATATATCATAGAGAGGGATACAGATGTATGTCATAGAGAGACATACAGATGTATGTCATAGAGAGACATACAGATGTATGTCATAGAGAAGAATACAGATGTATATCATAAAGAGGTATACAGACGTATGTCATCGAGAGGTATACAGATGTATGCCATAGAGAGGTATACAGATGTATGTCGTAGAGAGGTATACAGACGTATGTCACAGAGAGGTATACAGACGTATAACATAGAAAGGTATACAGACGTATGTCATAGAAAGGTATACAGACATATGTCATAGAGAGGTATACAGATCTATGTCATAGAGAGGTATACAGAGGTATGCAGACGTATGTCATAGAGAGGTATACAGACGTATAACATAGAGAGGTATACAGATGTATATCATAGAGAGGTATACAGATGTATGTCATAGAGAGATATACAGATGTATGTCATAGAGAAGTATACAGATGTATATCATAGAGAGGTATGCAGACATATGTCATAGAGAAGTATACAGACGTATGTCATAGAGAGGTATACAGACGTATGTCATAGAGAGGTATACAGACGTATGTCATAGAGAGGTATACAGACTTATGTCATAGAGAGGTATACAGATGTATGTCATAGAGAGGTATACAGACGTATAACATAGAGAGGTATACAGACGTATAACATAGAAAGGTATACAGACGTATGTCATAGAGAAGTATACAGATGTATATCATAGAGAGGTATACAGACGTATGTCATAGAGAGATATACAGATGTATATCATAGAGAGGTATACAGACGTATAACATAGAAAGGTATACATATGTATATCAGTTTTAATCATATTGTGATCAGCTGGTCTGTATTCCGTCTTTGCATATTGCAGAGTTATCTTCTCTTGTGAGCAGGTATTAATTGTTACGTCATTTGTTTGTGAGAGTAAGGTCATCAATTTTTGAGAAAACGACGTAATATTTCACACAAACCAATGACATAACAATCAATACCTGCTCACAAGAGAAGATAACTCTGCAACATGCAAAGAAAGAATTGGAGGTTTAAGATCAATCTAAGTGAGAAAGGTGATCTTTTTCGCCATATAACATGAAAAATTTAAAATTCATGTCAAACATTGTTGTCTATTTCAGATGTTACAAAACCCGATGGAGTTCAACACAGCTGTGCAGGCCCTACTAGCGGCCCAGCAACAGGCCATCTCGTCAGGTCTGTTCGCCCTGTTTATACAGGAAGATGAGAGGAAGAAATTGATTGAAGAGCTTTTAGATTAATTCATGCTCTCAGTATGCATCTATGATGAAAGATACCAATATTGCCAAAAATGAAAACATTTATTTAATTTATTTTAAAACAATGTCCTAAATCTTACCAGAAGACAAAACATTTGTTATGCTGTGATTAGGCAAAATTAGTCAATTTTAGATAAACCTTTGCTTGAAAAGAACATCAAATTCTAACATTTCAGAAAAAATGTATTCGACAAGTAAAAAAGTTGATTGTGAACATAGACATTAAAGACAGGCACATTATCAGGTAACACAGAATGAACAAAGTCGCTGTAGAAGAACTTTACAGAGATGTTTAAATATTTAGTGATTCCAAGACATCTTGGTCAGGGAACTACCAATATATTTACACTGAAAAGATGTCTGTAAGTATGAGATTCTGATTTTATTTCTATCTTTTTTTATCAACAGGTAGCTTAGTCCTAATTTTCCTTTCCTTTGATAATGTATTTGTAAAGGTTCTGTGGCTGGGGGAGAACACCTGTGTTTTATTGGGAGTGGACGGGAGGAGGAGGACCAGTACGTACACATGGTGGTAGCTAACTTCCTACAGAAACACTACCAGTACATCAGTATAGCCCGCGGAGGCTACGGAGGTAACTCTCTTATATCTGTATACTGTATACTGGCTAACTACAGAAACACTACCAGTACATCAGTATAGCCCGCGGAGGCTACGGAGGTAACTCT